CCTCCTAACCGGTGGACAAAAGGACCGGCCATAGAAATATGGCTCGTCCCTAGGCTGCTAAAAACTGAAGTCACATTAACATCTGGCAACTTCAAAGCAGCATGGAAAGGATTGGGTGAGATCTGCCTCTCTTACATCCTAATTACTTAATTACCTGCATAAGCTGCTAAAGTACTTCCCCCCCTGTGGTGAGGGCAGGGGGATTTTAGCCCTCCCTCCAGAAACAATGGCTATCAATCATTTGGGAGTCTAAAACGTTGGGAAAAATACTGGGATCCTAATTGGAATTCTATTTTTTAAAACTGGTGGATTGTAAGACTTGTAACTTTATGTTCTCTATTTTTTTTTCTTCTCTGATTTTTACTCTAACTATTATTGAAGATTTGGGTTCTTTTTCTCCCCCTTAAAATAGAGGGGGAGAAGAAAACTGAAAAGATCTAACTAACTCTGAGATGACATTTGCTGGCTAAATTTGAGACTGTAACCTGCTATTCTTTAAGAGAGACTTGTTGATTGCTTTGAAAACATCTGCAAGAATCTCAGCTCAGCTTTTTACTTGGTGGACTTTCTGATTGTAAGTTTTTTGTTTAGTTTAATACACGACAATGGAAGAAGAACAGGAATGGATTTCTCCCACAGAGGAAGTACAGGAACAAATTCTTTATATGTTAAAAGCAATTATCCACACTCTCCGTATGCAAGCTCAAACTATGACTTCAACTAAAGAATCATCTATACAGAATTCTATAGAAAGGGGGAAACAACCAAATGTTATGACAGAAGACTTAGATACTCAACAAATACAAACTGTGGAAAACACGGAAAGGAAACTGATAATAGAGAACAAGGAAAGGGCTTTTCTTATAAGCCAGAAGGAATTTGAAAACAAAAAAGAAAAACAGATGAAAGACAAGTTAAATACTTTGGGACAACTGCATCGAACTGGAAAAATAAAGAGATGACCTGTTAAACCAGCTAGCCCTCCTAAGAAAACAGCAACTGAATGCCTTTATCAATGTCAAACAATAGTTACAACAATACAAGGAGATCTTTTTGATGATTTAAAGGCGAAAGATGATTTGGCAGAGGAAAAAAGCTAGAATTAGACTGAAAGGGATTGGGGTTTTGATCTATACATGAGATCTAAAATAGAATATATCTAAATGGATAGAATATGTATTTTGAACATAAGATATTGTAATGATTTGAGATAAAAAATTGGTTTTATAAAATCTAGAAATATAAATATCGAAATAAGAATATTATATTGTCTTATTACTTTGTTAAGATATATGATAGAATTTACATATAAGGTCTGTATTTTAAATATTAGATCATATGAAGAATTGTGATAAAGGAATGTGTTTAATTAAAATTTGGAAAAAAGATAAATATTAAATGTTAAATTAAAATATTAAGGGAAAATCAATTACAAGGTTACTGATTTGCTAAAAGTTTGAATGTTTATAGATAATTAAGACTTGAATTTAAGATATTGTCATGAGTTGAGAAACAGGTTAAATAAAACTTAAGAAGTATAAATACTAATAATTAAATTTGTATATTAGCTTGTGGCATAAATGCTGATTGTTTATTTATTTATTTGTTTTTCTCTTTTACTGGAAAGGAAGAAAGGAAAGAAGTAGAAAAAGGAAAAGAAAAGAAAAATTATTAGCCCTGAATATGAGATAGGAGACTGAGAAATTGGGATCATTTAAAATCTGGAAATGATAAAGATTAAATGTTAAATTCAAATATTAATGCAAAATTAAAGTTAAGAAAAACTTATTAGGTTATTGTCTAAAAGATGGAATGTTAAATTAATTAAGATATGTATAGACTGAAGATTATTGATGAATATTAGAAAGGTATTTTTTGTTTGGTTGATAGAATAAGAACTGTATTGATCTGAATATGATAGTAGATCTTATGGAGGAAAGAGAGGGAATTTGTTGTTGTAATATTTAAATGTAATGGAATTACGATGCTCAACCGCCATGCTACTTTTCAAATATGTAAATGCAATATTGGAAAATTAATAAAAAAACTTGGACATGAAAAAAAGAATATGACTAGAGCACAGAAAAATGAATTAGTTGATAGATTAGGCATTCAAACTACAAAGAAAATAAGATACTTAGGGATACAACTAACAGCCACATGTGTCACACTTAAAGGAGACAATTACGATAAATTAATGGAACAGATTAAAACCAATTTGGATACCTGGTCAAATCTACAGCTCTCTTTTATGGGAAGAATTGCTGTAATTAAAATGAATGTGCTACCCAAAATACTATTTTTGTTTCAATGCATCCCGATTAAATTAGATAAGGAATTTTTTTGAAATTTTAATCGAACCATACTTAAATTTATTTGGCAAGGGAAAAAAGCAAGGATTAAATTAAAATTATTGGAAGATTTGAAAGAAAGGGGCGGATTCGGTCTCCCAGATTTGGAAAAATACGATCAAGCTACAATATTAATATGGGTGCGGGACTGGATACAATTGAAAAATAGGAGATTATTAAGATTGGAAGGTCATGATATGCAGATTGGGTGACACGTGATGTTATGGGACGAGAAATACAAGGTTCACCAATACTTCCGGAGGCACTACATCAGACGGGCGTTAATAGATGTATGGGTTAAGATTAGGCAACAAAACTATATGCATGTACCCAATTGGATTTCGACATTGGAAATGCACATTCACCCAATGTTTATACAATTAAGGACAGTAATAACGTATGAAAATATATTAGATGAGAGAGGAGAATTGAAATTGAGGAAAAATCTTCAAGATGAAGGGATAGAACTGGAATGGTGGGCATATCTTCAACTGTAATCAAGATACAGGAAAGATAAAATAGAGTGGGGTATAAAAACAGAGCCGATAGAGCTAGATAAAATATTATTAGGAACTGAAGACAAAATGATTAAAAGAATATACCTTCTAAATCAGGCAATGTATGAAGAGCAAGTCAAGGAAACTATGTTAATATGGAGTAGGGATTTCAACTTCAATATTGACCTGCACCTCTGGCAAAAATTGTGGGAAAGAAACAAGAAACTCACCTTAGCTACTTATAAGGAAAATCTTTACAAGATCTTTTATAGATGGCATTTCCTATCCACAAGGTTAGCCAAAATGGGCCCAAATCTCTCACCCATATGTTGGAAATGCAAAACAGCAATAGGGACATATTATCATATGTGGTGGGAATGCCCTAAAGCTTGTGATTATTGGAATAAGATAAGAAAATGGTTGAAAGAAATACTAATGTTGAAGATAGAGTTAAAACCTGAACTTTTTCTATTGGGCATAACCACAGAGAAATATGATAAGGGTATAGTTTATTTGATGCTGCACATCTTGACAGCTGCCAGACTGGCGTTCGCACAAAAATGGAAAAACAAAGAAACTCCCACAGAGGAAGAAACACTATACAAAATACTATCTTGTGCTGAAATGGACAGGCTTACGAAGGAACTGAAGGATAAAAGTGGATCTGAATACTTTGAAATCTGGGATAAATTTTACTATTGGTGGGAGTCGAGGAGGATTGTTGGGGTTATAGATTAGCTTCAATATGGAAATGTATATAATTTTAGGCTAGCAAATAGAGAAATGAATTAAGTATTGTATAAAAAACCCATATGTATCTTAGAGATATAGAACTAAATATAAGAAGACAAATAACTTGACAGAAATGTTTATACTGGAATGTTACGTCATGTCCAATGTTTTCTTTTTTAACTGTATTGTAAATAAAAAACTTTTTTTAAAAAAAAGTAACATAGTACTCTCTTTTTCTTTTCTCTTCTTATTTTATTTCTTGATATGAGTAATATAAAAGAGTTGGAATGGCTTATATAAAGGAAGTGTTTTAGCTATTTAAATGTGATTGACATTTAATCTATTTACATACAATGGATTAAAAAAAGTGTTTTGAATAAGAGTTAAAAGACCAGATGACTAGATTTATTAAATTGAATATTTAAAGATTAAACATATTTTTAATTATGGTAAAAAAGAACGGAAAATTTTTGGAAATAAATATGTATTAGCTTAGGGGAAATATGGATTTTAAGTAGCATACTATCTTTTTATTTTTCTTTACTCTTACTCTTTTTTTTTTTAAAGCCTAATTTATTCCTTAAGAAAGGTAAAAGTATTGGGATGGCTTACATGAGGAAAAAATAGACTTAAATATTTAAATGTAATTAACTTTGAGAAAATCTTAACCAGTAAGAATGTCTTGAACGTTGTGGGAAAAACAAATGTAAACAAGAACTGTAAACAGGATCTATGAAGAGGCAACCAGAATGTCTAGATAGAAAAGAAATATTATATTGATGTGATTATTATCTGTAGAAATATTAGAAAAAAATATTCTCAATTGTTATTTACCAAAACAACAAGAATTGTATTAACTTAAGGTTGGCAAAAGAGAACATTATGGGGAAAAGAGGAAATCAAGTAAAGCTATTATGTGGGTTGTAGATCATAGAAACCAACTGTTAGTGAATGTTTTTTTAAATGTAAACCCAGACAACACACTGTTTACCAAATACTAAGGTGACTATGTTAAAAAAATCAATAAAATATATTATTAAAAAAAGAAAGGAGAGAGTAACAATCCTTATGAATTATAGTGCTCAAAATAAAACCTCTAACTCAGGCAGCACATGTCTCTGAAAAGGAGAAAACTGTTTTGCATATATGATGCCCTGTGCTTAAAAAGTGCATCAAGTATCTTATTTGTATGATTACTTTTATTAGGTATTTTTGTGATGGGGTTGGGTTATTTTGAGTCTGATAGCACAGACTCACTCTCCAAGTGACAGTGTAAGTATTTTTAAGGTGCTACTGAAAATAGAATACTTGGCAACATGTAAGATTATTTGAGATCTTGAGTCTGTTATAAATCAGTGGTTTAACATTAATTTTTATGTGATTTTCTGTTTCTTTTCCTTTCTTTCCTGGTGTACCTCAGGACATTCATTTACTCATTCTTCCGAAGAGGCAGACCTTTCCCGCTAAAGATAGTGTTTTTGGGTGCACTGTTCTGTATCTATAATGGCTTCCTTCAAGGCTATTACATGATTTATTGTGCTGAATACCCAGATGACTGGTGTAAAGACATACGATTTTTGTCAGGTATTGTCTGTGATGTGTATCATTTATCTGCTATCCAATTCATCCAAATTCTGCCAACATTGGGAGGAGTGGAAGGCATAGTACCTGTGAAAAATCTTAAGGCAGAAAAACAAAAGAATTTAAAAAACAACACAAAACTTGTTTTCCTGCCACATTATACTAATCAAACAAAATAGATTCTGTACTCATGGTAATAATTGTCAGAAGAAATTCTGATCACATTTCAGGTTAATATAGAAAGGGCTTTATCCCTTGAATGGAAGAAATGAGTCATGTTTAATATGAATTAGTACTTTTAAAATCTATGCTTGTGGATCCAATTGCAGTCAGATATACTACTAGCATTTTTCTGCATATGATACTACAGTTCACTTCTCAGAATAATTTGCCCAAATATGTACCACATTAGGGAAATATGTTCATGGATATTAGGAAAAAAATAAGCTTTTTAATGCAGATTCTTATATGGAAAGTTTTGCAAAATTATACAGCAAGCAGACAGAATCAACTTAAGGTTTGAAAAACAAGAGATGAGGAAACGTGAAACTCAGCAAAATAAAACAGTTTTGCCCAATCATATTGTTGTTTTTGGGAGTAAGTTTCTATCAGACATCTGCCAAACTCACTCTTTTATATTCAATATTTTATTGCACTTATTTAATTATTATAAATATTTGGTACATTTGTAATGTAAAATGTATAGAATACTATGCATACTATGTGTAACTTTTATACATAAATTTGCTTTAACTTGTAAGCCACTTTAGAAAGACTCAAAGATACTTTATCCACCAAGTGTTGAGAATAATCCTCCTGATCATCGTATATAGCAGAGGTGGGGCTGGCTTAGGAATTCTGGGAGTTGAAGTCCATAAGTCATAAAAGGGCCATTGTTCGCCACCCAGCTGTATAGGAATCTACTTGATCCCTCCCAACTATGAGAGTTCAAGTCAGCCAGCCAGCACTGGACTGAGAAATAAGTATGTTTTACCACTTTTATTGTCACAAGACAAGCCTGAAGAAAGACTCATACATGGTCCTAGTTGGAGTTGCTTTTGAGGCATCTCTTCTACATATTTTTCAGAAAAAAATAGGGAGTATATTTTTTCAGTGGCCAAAGAATAAAGCCAGTACAATCTGTGTTTGAATAATGTCTGTAAATCAAATATCTGTACTATCCAACTCATAAATATTTTTTTCTTTAGGTCTTTTGTTGTTTTTGTCTGGCATGGGAATCAATATCCACAGTGATTTTCTTCTACGTCAGCTAAGAAAGCCAGGAGAGTTCACTTATAAAATTCCACAAGGTATATACTTTTCCTTCCAAGCTTCATGAAATATAGGATAACTTTGAAAACCTTGCTTGATAACAAGAGCCTATCCTTAGGGCATGGTAAAGAAGACACTAGCTGGAAATGTGAAACCATTTAATTGGCATTTTGTTCATTAACACAGTTAATGAGATTCTCTGAGAAAATCTTGATCAGATGCCAGAATGAAGAATTGGAAGAGACTTACTTTGGGCCTTAAGGCCTGTTTCCTGCTGGTCACCATTTATTTAGCCTCTTTGGTGTGACTACAATACAATGGAAAGAGTTCATTTACTTTAAACAATGTGTGTTGTCCAACCTTTCACATGAGCACTCAGTTTTGGTCTAATTCTTCAAGGGAGCCATAAACTACTACTACTACTACTACTACTACTACTACTACTACTACTACTACTACTGGTGATGATTTTTACGTCTTGGGGTTCACGGTATTGAAGCGACACACACTCAAGTTGTAACCAAGTTCTTCTTTATTCATTCCACGTTACCACTCAGTAACCCAACAGGCTTGCAGGCCTTTTATAGTTTCCCAAACAGCCTATCATAAATCTCCTTTGTTCACGCCTTGCGCCTGCACGCAAGGCCGGCACCTGTCTGGTCCCAGGCAGCTTTTGGGTTGCCCAGGACCATTTGCAACATTTCTAGGCCTGCTGAGCTGCCTCATCAGGCCCAGGACACAACACCCCTCCCCCCTAGATGAAACACACAATTACATTTGTTCCCTGACAGGAAAAAAAAAAGAATTTCCCTGCCCAGCACACAAGCAGAACATCTTTATAAAATAATGTTAACTTAAACAAATTGCTCTCCAAAATTATAATTAGTGTGTTTATCTCTACCAAGTGTAGATCCCCATCACCCAGTTATAGACCAGCAAGGTTCCTTTGTGATGACAGAAACCTCACATAGTCTCCCAGTTGCTTGGGAGGGGCCTTAGCCCTTTGCGACCTACGCAAGGTCAGGGAGGGTGCCTGGCCTGTCAGCTCACCTGCCCGGGTAGGCAGACCAGGACTTTTACTTAATGATGCTTGGCCTACCAGCCCGTCTGATAGGCTCAATATACCAGGACTTTGATGACCATAACTGACAGGTGACCCCCGTTGTGGCAGGCTGGCTGAGTCTTCTGGACTCCAGCCCGGTTCCCTTGAAGGGGAGAAAATCCCCAAGCCCAATGGTGGAGCAGAGGTCTCCCCTTCCATCATGGACTGCTCCTGGGAACTTAGTCCCTCAAGCCCACACCAGTCTTGGACGTGACCTGCGTTGCAGCTGTGCCCCAATAGTTCCAGTCCCCCGTGTAGGTGGCCGAGGTGCCAGAGTCAGGAGCCGCCTCTATTTCAAACCCCCTCTCAGGAGAATTCCTGTTTGGCGCACTTGCACATGTGCAGGCCACCCCCTGGGATGACTCCCTGTTCAGAGCAATAGCTGAATTGTGAGGATGCCCTTGCTCTTCCACTGGGGCATCAACAGCAACCTGCGGAAAACCCCAGGCACAGTAAGACTGGTTCCTAGGATTTTGACTTGAAGTGTGACCTTGTTCCTGGGCCCCCTCCCCCCCTCGAGAGCAGAGCCAGGGGCAGAAACATTGGGGGACAACCGCCAACGCAGTTGGTCAATATGACGCTGAAGGACGCGGCCATATCCCAAGGTCACTTCATATGATAGCGGCCCCGAGATTTTGCAGACAACAGCTGTGACCCAGAAATGTCCAGGACCATAGTTCCTTGCCCAGACCGGATTGCCCACCTGAAGTCTCCTAGGTGCTCGTGACTGAGACACCTGTGAAGCCACCCGGTCTGGGTGCAGTCTGTCCAACTTTGTGATGAGGCGGCGACCCCAGCAGAGTTTAGTTGGGCTCTTTCCAGTGGCAGGGCATGGTGTAGTGCGGTGTGCAAGAAGAAAATCTGCTAACCAGTGATTGCCAGCTACCATGCGTGATTCTTTTGAGTGCGTCTTTGGTGGGGCGCACCATCCGTTCAGCTTGCCTGTTGATGGAAGGGTGGAAAGGAGCTGACATTGCATGCCGGATCAAATTGGCCTGAAGGAAAGCCTGGAACTCAAAATAAGTAAATTTGTTTATTTGTTTATTTATTTATTTATTTATTTATTTATGAGACTTATATACCGCTTTAAGTGCAAGCACTCTCTAAGCGGTGTACATCAGTAAGCAATGTATATATATATTTACATTGCCCCCAACAATCTGGGTCCTCATTTTACCTATCCCGGAAGGATGGAAGGCTGAGTCAACCTTGAGCCGGTGAGATTTGAACTGCTGACCTGCTGAACACAGTCAGCTAAAGTGGCCTGCAGTACTGCACTCTAACTGCTGCGCCACCTTGGCTCTTAAGGCTGTTGAGGACTGTTGTCAGAAACGAGGACATCAGGGAGGCCATGGGTAGCGAAGATTCCTCTCAACACCTGGATAGTCCTGGCAGTAGTAGTGGAGGAGACAGGTACAACCTCTAGCCACTTGGAATGGCTATCCACCAGGATAAAGAAGAATTGCCCCTGAAAGGGCCCAGCATAATCTAAATGTACCCTTGACCAAGGGGTTTGTGTCTCCTCCCACCTGTGTACAGGGCCTGAGGCATTTCCGGCCATGAGTGTTGGCACACCTGGAACCCATGCACCTGGACCTCGATAGCTTTATCAAGCCCCGGCCACCAAAGATGGCTGCGTGCAAGCACTTTCATGCGCACAATGCCCGGATGTCCCTCATGCAGATAGGACAAGACTCTAGACCTCAGTGAAGCTGGGATAACTACTCTACTACCCCATAACAGGCACCCCTTAAATGTAGACAGTTCATGCCTTCTTTGCCAGAAGCTTTGAAATGCAGCATCTGGACATGTGTCAGGTCATCCTGACAAGACCCATGTCAGCACGCATGTGAGCGTGTGATCTGTGGCAGTTTCTGCAGCCACTTCCCTAGCATTGAGGGGAGATTCAGGCAACTCCTGAATGGAAAGAATATTAATAGCAGGAGCAGGATCTGCCTCTATTTGTTTGAGAGGTAATCTGCTGAGGCCGTCTGCATGACCCATCTCTTTTCCCGGTTTGTGGATGAGTGTATACTCATATGCTGACAGGAAAATTGACCGTCTCAGCATATGTGGGAAATAATGTGTGGTATCTGTTTGTTGGTAGTAAACAAACCCAGCAGAGGCTTATGGTCTGTGTAGACCGTGAAGTGGCGGCTATATAAGAAATCATGGAATTTCTTTATGCCAGCTACTATGGCCAAGGCTTCTCTGTCAATCTGAGCGTAATTCCGCTCTGCAGATGACAGAGTCCTTGAATAGTAGGCTACAGGGACTTGTGTCCCATCAGCCTTCAGGTCGCTAAGTACTGCTCCCACCCCATAAGGAATGCATCACATGCGATGTACACAGGCAGTTGCTCATTGAAATGCACTAATACAGCATTTGAAGAGAGCAAGGCCTTAACCTTATTGAAACTCCTGTCATGGACTTTAGTCCACTGCCATGGAGCCTGCTTGTCTAAGAGCCAGTGTAACGGCTCTGCCACTGCAGCCTTGTGTGGGAGAAATGCATGATAAAAATTTAAGAGCCCCAAGAAAGCTTATAGCTCACTCTTGGATGTGGGCCTTGGGGCCTGCTGAATCGCTTGAAGCTTAGATTCAGCAGGGTGGATGCCTTGAGCATCAATCTTGAAGCCTAAGAAGTCAGTGGAAGCTACTCCTATTTTGCATTTGTCTTGCTTTAATTTAAGGCCTGCTTGGTGGAAACGCAACAAGACTGCCCTTAATCTTTCTGCTAGATTTTGAGATGACTCCCCAGCAATGAGGACATCATCGAAGTAGGGACAGACCCCAGGAATACCATGAAGTGTGCATTCCATGACACTTTGAAATATGCCAGGGGCTACATTAACCCCAAACTGCAGTCTTTTAACTTTAAGGGCCCCTCTATGTGTTACAATTGTTTGGGCCTCTGCAGTTGCCTCATCAACAGGTAGCTGTTGATAGGCCTGTGCCAAATCAAGTTTTGCAAAAAGGCTCCCCCCTTTGAGGGAGGCCAGAATGTGGCTCACCACAGGCACTGGATATGCGTGCTGTTGCAACGCTTTATTCAGTTTACACTTATAGTCTGCGCATATGCAGACTTCTCCATTAGCCTTTAAAGATGTAACAATGGGGGTTTCCCATGGATTAGAGTCCACAGGTTCCAAGATGCCCTGCTGGAGCAGCTTGTCCAGCTCTGCATCTATCTTGCTTTTGAGGGCAAAATTCACCCTTCTAGGCTTGATCCTGATGGGCGTGATAGTTGGGTCTAAACGTAACGCAATGGAAGGCCCCTTGTAGGAGCCAAGCTCTGAGCTGCAAGGCCCAACGTTTGCACGCTGTGCAGCCCAGTTACTTGAATTCCAAGGGCCTTGAACCAATCAAGTCCAATAAGACTTGTGCGTTCACCCCCAACTACCACCACATCTAGGAAACCTCAAAAGCCTTACGCTGCACTTTAAGCATAGCCTCCCCTTTCACACTGACTTTGGAATTCTGGAAGTCAGTAAGGATTAAATTCGATGGCCTGAGTTTGACTCGAAGGCCACTACTGCTGCAAATCCTTTTGAAGGTGTCCAGTGAAATGATAGATAGAGCGGACCCTGTGTCCAACTCCATCGATAACGGAACCCCTTGCAACTTCACGTCAATGCAAAGTTTTTTCTTAAGGGGCTTGTGTGTCCCTGTCCTCAGAATACTCCTGCGCGATGTGCAGAAACCCACCCTGTGTTGGCTGGGGACTATGGTACCTTTCTGAAGCAATTCTTCCTGAGGTTGGACCTTCTGGCGACCCAAACAGATGGAGGCAATGTGGCCTTGCTTTCCACATGCCCTGCAGATGGCGGAGCAGAATCTGCAGTCAGCTTGCTTATGGCGTCCTCCGCACCCGAGACACTGGGGAAATGCTGGGGCCTTGTCTTGATGCCCTTTCGGCCTTCTTTCTGCTGGCTGATGAAGTCTGTCCACTTCCTCTTCAGGATCCGCTTCTGAATCTTCTCAATGTCCTCTTGATGGACAGATGCGACTGCGGTAGCACTTTTGGCAAGTCGCAAGGCCTTCACAATGCCACCTGCTGCCTCTTCAGCTGCAACTTCGCACAAGACATCTTGGAAGGTGACTTCAGCTTTAGCAAATATTTTTTGTTGTAGCTCTCTACTACTACTTTGTCTAAGGCCACAGACAAAACGGTCTCAGTAAGCATTCTTCCATGTCCTTGAACTCACAAGGCCTGGCTGCTTGTCTCAAGGCAGCAATGAATTCCACAGCAGACTCACTAGGCTTCTGATCCTTCTGCTCAAAAGCGTGCCTCCACACGATCACAGATAGCTTTGGATGAAAATGGTCCTTTAACATATTCTTCAAGTCTGTGTACGTTACTGATTCAAGCGGCGTAGGAGCTACTAAGTTTTCAGCTACGTCGAAAGTGTCCTGACTGCAGATGCACAGCAAGGTCGCTGCCTTCAAGCCGTCTTCTTGAACCTGGTTAACTCGCAGGTAGTTTTCCACCCAGGCCACGTAAGAGTTCCAACGCTCCGGGTGAGACACGTCGAATTCGGACAACCAGCCGATCTTCAACATTGCTAGCTTCTCTTAGTCTCGCTGCAACTTTGGCGGGGAAGAGGCCCATTTGACAAGCCCACCTCCAGTGTTTGCGTACTGGCAGGTGAGTGCAGATCTGGGTGCCGACTTCCCGGCTTCAAGCTCTTTTTGTTCAGAGGCTAAATTCTTCAGTTGTCTTCTTCTTTGCAGCGATCCCACCTTTGTCGCCACTTTTACGTCTTGGGGTTCATGGCATTGAAGCTACACTCATGTTGTAACCCACATTCTTCTTTATTCATTCCACGTTACCACTCAGTAACCCAACAGGCTCGCAGGCCTTTTATAGTTTCCCAAACAGCTTATCATAAATCTCCTTTGTTTGTGCCTTGCACCTGTGTGCAAGGCCGGTGCCAACCAGTCTGGTCCCGGGCAGCTTTTGGGTTGCCCGGGACCATTTGCAACATTTCTGGCCCTGCTGAGCTGCCTCATCAGGCCCAGGACACAACAATGATGATGGTGATGATGCTTGGAGTCAGTAGTATAGAAGAGAAAGAACTGGAGAAGATAACAAAATACAAAGACCTACAAATAGAAATAGAATGTGGCAAAGGCAAGCAAGGGTAGTACCAATAGTAATAGGTGCCTTGGATGCAATCCCAAAACAACTGGAGCACCACTTGAACACCATTGGCATTGACAGATTCGCCATTAATCAATTGCAAAAGGCGGCCTTACTAGAAACTGCTTCCATCCTGCAACGATATCTGTAATACCATCAATTCAATTGGTAAGGACTCGATAGATAGAGAAAAATGTCAAATCCAGTTTGAACATCTGGCTGATTGTGCAATGATCAATAATAATAATAATAATAATAATAATAATAATAATAATAACAATCTGCTGTTTCTCAAAGGTATTTAAACGAATCTCTTTTATGCAGGAGGATTGTTTGCATATGTCTCAGGAGCAAATTTCTTTGGGGAAATCCTTGAATGGTTCGGGTATGCTATAGCGACCTGGTCTCTACCGGCCTTCGCCTTCGCATTTTTTACACTCTGCTGCATTGGACCACGTGCTTATCATCATCATAGGTATTTATGCTATATAAACTATACAATATGGTATCTGACAACATTCTAGGACAGTGGTTCTCAACCTTTTTAATGCCACGACCCCCAACCGGTCGTAAGTCGAGGACTACTCAACCGGTCATAAGTCAAGGACTACTAAACTGGTGCAGCACCGTTTGCAGAATGGGACTTTTGGCGGGCTCAGCAGGGCAGAGACAGCCTGGACGATTCCTATTGGCTTTTGAAAGCCAATAGAATTAGACTCTATTCAAGAGAGTCTATTCCATTGGCTTTCAAAAGCCAATAGAATAAAAGGGAGTAGCACAACTAAAGAAAAGGGGGAAAAAATGGCGGACTGTGTTGTTTGGCGACCCCCGTGAAATGGTCATTCGACCCCAAATGGGGTCCCGACCCACAGGTTGAGAACCACTGTTCTAGGAAATAATATTGCTCAGAAGCATTAATATGTATGAGCCTTTCTATATCAAACTAGAATCACTCTATGAGTTTATTTAAAGCAATCCATTTTTGTTTTTCAGGCTTCTGCTCAAGTCTGAAAAAGGGTACTATAAACTAAAGCAATTCTTAAAGCCGTTGCATTCCTTCTTTCATTCTGCGCTCACTGATTTTATACTCTGTTCTCATGCTCTTTTTTCCTTTTCCAGACATACATTGTGACAGTGTGTACATTTGTTCTGGGAAACAGATTAGGCACATTCTCAGTCACATCTCCATTCTATTTTTATTGCATTGTAAACTGCTTTGATGCCACTTTTCACTAAAATCCCCTTCTCCTTCACAAAAGTAACTTGCATGCAGTTATGCTTCACTGTAGCTTGCTCAAATATTTGTCTCCTAGAATTGTCAAACTACATAAAACAGTAAAAGATAAATAAAAAGATGCCCATTTATTTGAAATATTAATACTCTGCCTTTGATCCAAATTGACTCCAGTGCAGTAAAATAATCTCCTGTGGACACTTAAAATGACAAATGCAGCTGCAAATTGTAGTTCTGTTTCTATGGGCACTGTAACCCTGGGGAAATTTGTCTGTGCTCTTCTCTTTTAAGAAATCAAAGTGTGAGCTGCATACAGCACAGGGCACAGGAGAACATAGTGACTCTGTGTATTTTATTCTAGAAGTCAGACAGCAGGTCTATGTAAATGTGTGTGTTTTTAGATAGGAATTTTGTAGCTGCCTTTGTTATTATCAAACCACATAAGATAGTGGGTTTATCTAGTTATATGGCCTTCTACCAGTGAATTAGAAACTGTTGAAGCATTAGATTTTCCAATCTACCCTTGTTCTCTTGCATACCACACAGATCTGCTTCACTTGTGTAATTTATAGGACCTAGCACACAGCACGTCTATTGTCTTTCTTACTTTGGCCCTGAAACTCCAAATGCTGAATCGTATATGTCATATAAATATACACACTGCTCTCTGTAGGTGCCACAATGAATAGACAAGTTAGGAAATTAGAAAAAGAACTTTATTTTCTTTTCATGTCAGCCTTAAATCTGGAGCTTTTGTAAACATTCAACAAGGAACTTAACTGGGATATATAACTTTTTATATGTTATAATATATTTTATATTTTATTCTGTTACTTAAGATTCATTTAGCCAAGCATAAAAACTGTGTAGAAAATACCTCGAAATACAGGTAGTCCTTAATTTGCTACCACTCATTTAATGACCATTCAAAGTTATAACAGCACTGAAAAAGGTTTCTTATGACCAGTTCCCACAATTATAATTGCTGCAGCATCTCCATAGTCATGTGATCAGGCTTTGGGTGGTTGGCTAACGGCATGTATTTACGATGGTTGCAGCGTCCCAGAGTCCTGGGATTGTCATTTGCGATTGTGCTAGGGAGTTCTGACAAGCAAAGACAATTGGGAAGCCAGATTGGCTTAACCCAGGGGTAGGCAACCTTGGCTCTTTTATGACCTATGCTGGAATTCTGGGAGTTGAAGTCCACGAGTCATAAAAGAGCCAAGGTTGCCTACCCCTGGTTTAACCGCATGGTTTACTTAAAAACTGTAGTGATTCATCTAGCAATCATGGTGACAATGGTTGTAGAACAGGCCATGACTCACTTAACAACTGCCTTGCTTAGCAGTAGAAATTTTGAGCTTAATTATGTTGATACATTGAAGATTATCTGTGCTGACTCTTCCACTGTTTTATTCTTCGACTTCTCGTAATGGATAAATAGTGCTGAAAATAGAACTCTGACATTAACATCCATGGTAGTTTATATAATGATGATCAACATTTACCAGCTAGTTCAAAGGTAACAGGGGTTCTCTACAGATAATATGAGTTGAAGTCCAACCCAGCTGGAAGATACCAAATTTTTAAAGCTTGTCTTCCAGGAATATTGAGTCTTTCTAAAGTGGCTTACAAGTTAAAGCAAAACTATGTATAAAACTCACACAAAGTATTTGTAGTATTCTAGAAAAGTTTCATTACAAATTACGAAATATTTATAACAATTGAGAAGTGCAGTAAAATATTGACTATAAAAGAGTGTGTTTGAACATCATTGGAATTGTTTCCATAGTGGCAGATGGTCCTTTGTTAGAGAGAAGGACATAAAATTAACCTTTCATTTATCATTTAAATGTTAACATCCTTTGAATCCATGCATGACCCATTTTTGAAGAGCCATATATACCAGAAGAGATTTGAGAAATGAGATTTTACCTTCTTAAAGCAGGATTATAATTTAGGGCACATATCTGCATTTTCATGCTTGTGTATGTTTTCTTATAGGTATTATCTGAAGACATTCACAGCCTATCCAAGATCAAGAAAAGCCTTGATTCCTTTTATATTTTGAAGAATAGTTATCAGAATGGATGGGTATTATGTGTTCTTTATTGTTTACATAAGAGTGCTATTATTGTTAAGTATAATGTATTAAAACACCCTTGAATCATTTCTTTTTGTATGATAGAATTCTTTTGGCTCTTAAGTGCATTCAGCATTTAATGTTCTCCTACCTGCATTTCACAAGTTGGCAATCAGTGCTTGGTTGTTTGGGAAATTGGACTGTTATAGCTATCTGCTTTTCACAGGAAGCAGTGAAAATTAAGAACAGTTCAGTTAAGAAAAAAAGGGCTTGTTAGCTGTAAGCCTATTGCTCTGTTTCTGTGTTCTTTCTCATAAAGACAAAGAAAACATTCCATACAAAAATGATACTCAGTTTCAAGAGTATATGAATGCATCTTTTTGTATTTTTTCAAATCAGTTGTGGTTGTATATAATTATCATCAAAAATGAAATATAAGTCACTCAGAAATAATTTAACAGGTCATGAGCTGAATATGAAATCAAATAAAAAGACTCCCAGACTTTTTGCATGAAACAGAAAAAATGTACTTGTGATTTGTGGTTTTGATGATTAGAAAAAAATGGATAATAGAAAAAAGGAATAAGAATTAATATTGTACATGTATTTATATTTCCTGCAAAGAAAATTGAAAGGTTCTTCTGTTTTTTTTTATTTTCTTTCTGTGCTTTTGCTTTTCTTTCTTTTTTTCTTTCTTTCCTTTCTTTCTTTCTCTTCCTTCCTTCCTTTCTTACTTTCTCATCTTTATTAGTTTGTTATGTTGTGTTGATTTTTACGTGCTTTGTAAAACTTAAAAAATATTTTTAAAAAAACTACACAAAGCATCCTATCACTTTTTTAAAAATTCCTTTATTTTACCTGTCAAATCAAGAAATAGGTATCCATCTCCCAACTTTTTATCCAGATAGGTATTTTGTGTTAAAAGCTTAATATCTGGTAACTGAATGGATCCATGTGTTCAATAGCACAGAAATGATTCTTTATTGCCCTTTTTTGGTTTTCTTTTCCTTTTCAATTTAGTCTGCGCCCCTGGAATTTCTGTGTAGTTCCCATACGTCCAATTCTGACTTAGCTCAGTTTCAGAGACAGGAAAGATCAATTGTTGCAATTGTTGGCCAAGTCATAAATACGTTCAAACTGCAAAAAAAGAAAAGAAAGGAAAAAAGAAGAACAGTGTCTCTAACAGCAAAATTTCTATGCCTCTGAAGAGGCACCTAAATTTCTGTGTATATACAGCATACAACAGCTCTGGCTCCATAGATCGGTTGACTAAAAATAAGGAAGAATAGAGATGACAAAGTCCAGCATCTTCTCTGTGTCCAGAACACCTGATCCATGTCCTTAGATCCTGTAGCAGAGGTGTCAAACTGCTGGCCTGTGGGCTGGTTGTATCATATGGAGGCCACGCCCACTCCAGCTCTGGCAATGCAAAAAAAGTTGTGATATGTGGCGACACGTCACATGACGTGGCGAGTATGACACCCGTGCTGTAGTGCGTTTGCATGATTCTCCTGTGAGCTTGCTTCCAAATGAACTGAGTACTACTATAAGGCGGATGCTAACTATTAAGGTTAGACAGTATAGTTTATTCTTTAAATAATAAATTCTAGCTGTTTTCCTGTAACCTTTAATTTTATGTAACCTTCTGCAATATGAGCAATTATTCTTATATGTTTCTATGTAGGCATATTTAAAAGAGGCAAAGGCACTTTTCCTGCAACTTTGCATCGTCGTTGTGACAGTTTGGCTTTTCATAATCACCTTTAGACTACATTCTGGACTATCTTCCCGTCCTGCTTGGCATTATGTAGGGAGGGGTTTGTGAATCAAAACATGAATCCTAGATTCCACATAATTCTGGTTCTACAGCAGTGTTTTTCAAACTTGGCAACTTTAAGATGTGTGGACTTCAGATCCGAGAATTTCTAAATTCTTCTGCAATGTATATATTGTCACTTCCTTGCTGATAGAGAGGTGTTATAAAAAGTAGGGATGTCAAAGAGATAACATTTTCCCCCTTTTGACACTGCCTCCACCAACCATCTGTATCAGCCTTGTCCATCAGGCAATTCCCATAGATTTCTCCTTTCGCAAAGGAATGCAATTAGCTTTATATATTTATTCATTTAAATAAAGCCATTTATTTATTTATCTAATAATGATTGCATTATTAATTCCTTTATTTATTTAATAAACTGGCTAATCCATTCCTCCTGTGAACGGTGTACACAAGGCACTTAAAATAAAATAATATAAAGATCATGCAAAACAGAAAAAGAATACCCACACCACTGAAACCTTAGTAGGGCAATGTTATTTTTTTAAGTTTCTTCTCCAAGAACTCAGATTCTAAAACATTTTTTATGCACAAGTACAGCATAGGTGGCACCATGCTCAATAGTAGTAACTGTGAGAGGGACCTCGGAGTCCTAGTAGACAATCACCTAAATATGAGCCAGCAGTATGCTGCAGCTGCCAAAAAGGCCAACACAGTGCTAGGCTGCATTAACAGAGGGATAGAATCAAGATCACGTGAAGTATTAATACCACTCTTCAATGCCTTGGTAAGGCCACACTTGGAATACTGCATCCAGTTTTGGTCACCACGGTGTAAAAAAGATGTTGAGACTCTAGAAAGAGTACAGAAAAGAGCAACAAAGATGATTAGGGGACTGGAGGCTAAAACATATAAGGAACGGTTGCTAGAATTGGGTATGTCTAGTTTAACGAAGAGAAGGAAAAGGGGGGACATGATAGCAGTATTCCAATATCTCAGGGGCTGCCATAAAGAAGAGGGAATTAAGCTATTTTCCAAAGCACCTGAAGGCAGGACAAGAAGCAACGGGTGGAAACTAATCAAGGAGAGAAGCAACCTAGAACTAAGGAGAAACTTCCTGACAGTGAGAACAATTAATCAGTGGAACAGCCTGCCTCCAGAAGCGGTAAATGCTCCAACACTGGAAGTTTTTAAGAAGAGGCTGGACAGCCATTTGTCCGAAATGGTGTAGGGTTTCCTACCTGAGCAGGGGGTTGGGCTAGATGACCTCCAAGGTCCCTTCCAACTTTACTACTATTACTATTACCAGTAAAACTGTATTTAAAAAAAAAAAAAACAGGGGATAGAGCAACCAGCCCTGTTGAATAGGAGAAAAGATGTACTGATGATTCTGCTTCACATCAGCAGTTAAAAGTTTTCTGCTGATGGGGTATTTTTTTATGCAGCAGTGCTTTCTACTGTTTTTATTTGGGGGGAAGTAATTCTGGCAGTGAATTGCCATTTTCATCCAGCATTTATTAATAGGGATATTAGGGAGCTGGGTAAAATTGGTAGTTTCCTCTTTTAGCTCAAGTGACAGAAAGACTGCCATACACGTAGTCCTCGCTTACCAACCATTTGTTCAGTGACCGGTTGAAGTTAGGACAGTGCTGAAAAAGTGAAAAAATAACTTTACAGCCCATTTACGACCATTATAATCTTTGCAGCATCCCTTAATCACATGATCCCCATTACACTCAGTAAGTGTAATGTACTCCCTTCCCTCTGCCTAGAGCAAAGAGATAATAATAATAATATGAATTATTCTTAGTAAGAAGTAGAACATGAAGGAAGAAAAATGTAAATAAGAAATAATGGGGCTATAAGGACAAATATTCTAAAGAAGAATAAGGGGGGAAATGTAAATAATAGATTACCGTTACGTAATTGCTGTAAAAAAAAGGAGGGGTGTATATTGTGTGTGTATGTGTGTTATGTTTTGCTTTGTTTTGTTTTGTCTTATCGGTTAAAAATAAAAATAAATTTAAAATTTTTTAAAAAAGGTATCTATCATCCCTCCTGATTTTCAGAAATCTGATGAAGACTTGGATATACCCCATCATGTCTTGTGGGCAGGATTGTTGGAATATAATTCCTCCAGACAATGAATGTTGGTTCTTGCTTTTTAAATGGCTATTTACAATGCATGGTTTTAATTTTAAAATGTGTTTAAGCATCTCCTGTATTTATTTTAATCCAAATGGGGGAGTTGTAAGCTGCTTACAATTGGTCAGTTGGAATGATCTCATCAGCCCTGCAAATCAATAAAGCCAGCTTTGAATAGTTAAAATAAATACATAATCAGTTCACTATAGTTATCATAGGTGTCCACCCCAAACACGGGCAATATTAACTTTTAAAATTTCTGGGATGAAATCTCCATTTTAACAGCTGCGTGGGAAAATGCCAAGGTTAATACCAGTCCCCAATATCTGGAAGGAATTTATTCTACGGGGCAGAGGTTACCACCTGGAATAATGGCGGTCTAGAAGGCATGTCTCTTTCATGAGTGTAGGGAATCTCAATATCTTGAATCAGAACGAGCTTATTGGACAGTTCTATTTAGAGAAAGTCATTCTGCAAGTTTGATGGGGGAGAATCAAAATGTCAAAGTACACAATACAGGAATGGAAATATATCAAAATTAAGATGGGTATAAACATCTTTTTGCATTCAGAAGGCTATCAATTAAACTTGACATAATTTTTGTCTAAGGCAAGAAATATGTGTATACACAATTTACTATAATATTCATTGGCTCTCCTGGTGCAATATAATTGAATTGAATTCCTAGGTAATGCATTTGTGGTTGTCAAGTTGTCGTATATAATTTTTTTTCACTGTTTTGCCCATGCATTTGATTAAAGGGAGACTGTTTCAAACTGCAAAATTACGCAAAGACAGCCTAAGAGTGTAACACAGATGTTTCTGACAAGTATGATGATCGGTGGGTCAAAGAACCATTATAAGAACAGCGCTCAGTCCAACAATCACATGCTGACAACATTGAAAGCATTTATTACTTTACTATCCTGGGTGGGAGACAGAAAAACCATATTTTCCTATGGAGTCAATTCAATCCGAAGAGAGGGGAGATTTGCTTACCCCAGTCAGTCACACGCTGGTGACTGATTGTGGATCGGCAGCCACGGTTTATAAAGAGAATTCAGGAGCGTTTTTTTAAAAAGCCTTTTTCTCTTCTGCCTCCTTTGGGCACAATTGAATTTATTGGATCTTGGATTTATTGTCATTTATTAGTCTTAACATGGTTAAGGCGCGCCAGCAACTGATCGACGTTCATCGCTTTTTACCACCCACCCCCCACCACCCCGAAAACAAAGTTTGCCTTTTTTTTAAAATACATTGTGCCGTGGCCAAGCGCGTTCAACTTCGAAGCAACGCATGCCGGGAGTTGTAGTTTTGCGGCAACTGCGTCCGGGGAATTCCTACGGTGCCCTCCCTAGAACCTCCACTTAAAACAACAAGAGAACAGGATTAAGGATTTGAAAATTCCCGCGACGGCTGTGATTTGCTCTCGCGAGACCTCGTTCCTCCACTGTCTGGTCCTCCTCCCTCCTCCTCCTCCTGCTGCCGGTGAGTGATCGGGGGACGGAAGAGGAGGTTGCTGCGCAGG